AGCTGAGGAACTCCAGCCTGCATGGGTAGAATACAAAGAGCAATAAAGTTAGACTTCCAATAAGGAAGCCAACCCTTATCAGCTGCTTCCTTTTTATCTCTCCAAAAAAGGAAGCACCATTTTTTGCCTGTTGACCTGGTTCTTTTTATTTTGGAATTAACGACTACAAGATAATTATTAGTAAGATTGCTTGATTTAGCAATAAACAAACAAACAAATAAATAGAGGTTTCACAGTTAAATTTGAATTTCAGATAAACAATGAAAACTTTTTTTTCTATACGTATGTCCTGTAAAATAATTGAAAAAACAAGAAAATTTTCCTTATTTATCTGAAATTCAAATTTAATTGGCCACCCTGTATTTAATCTGTTCACCTCATTTGTTGGGAGATAAATTATTTCTAAACATATTATTGCCTTCTCTATAATCTTCATCACCCTTATTCTCTATCCCCTCCCCACACACACAGAGATTTTCACACTTTGAAGTACTACAGGTGTTTTGTAAACAAAATAGAACACTAATTTGAATATATGTAAAACTGCTTGAATTCCAGAACTGCCAGTGATTTTTTTCTTTAATTTTTCTTTCTTTCTTTATTTTTGGTACTGGGGATTAAACCCAGGAAATTTACCACTGAGCTACATCCCAATCCTTTTTATTTTTTATTCGAAGGCAAGGTCTTGCTAAATTGCAACTCCCTTGCCTTAGTCTCCTGAGCCGTAGGATTATAGGTGTGCACCAGGCAAGAACTACCAGTAATGACTTGGGTTGAAACTCAGGAAGAAATCCATAATCTCATATAATTATATTTTATCACTTATTTTACATATACAATTACAGAAATAAGCTCAGAACTGAATTTTTATTTTAATGCATTTATGTTCTCTGGTTTCAGAAAAACGCAATCTGGTTTCTCAAAACAATTTAATGTGATAAAATACTGCCACCTGGAGACCAGAAGCAGGTATAGCTAAGAGCATCTTCATAATTCTGGATTGAAAGCCTGAGTTATGGTGACATGTGATATAATCATGCCATTCTGAACCCTGCCCTAATCTAGGCCTAATTTTTTCTCATTTATCCATTCATTTAATAAATATTTGCTAAGTTTCTTTTATATGCCAAACACTATGTTAGATTTCATGAATATAAAGATTATATAACCTAGTTCCCTCCTTGAATAACAGACAGACTAGAGGTAAAGACAGGTAGATTGGGGCTAGGGTTGTGGCTCAGTGGTACAGCACTTGCCTCTAGCATGTGTGAGGCAATGGGTTCAATTCTCAGCACCATATACAAATAAGTAAAATAAAGGTCTATCAACAACTAAAAAATATATTTTAAAAAAAGACAGGTAGATTATCAGATGTCATCCCAGGAACCACTGCCCTTTAAAATTAAAATTCGATTAAAACTAACCCTACCTGTATATAGCAGAAAACACATATGTGTCCTTCTAAGTGTAGGGTAGAAAGTGGTTTGCAATTTTCCCATTCACTGTGGATGCTAAGTTCCTGCTTCATATGAGGCAGTTCAGGGTATAGACTATTGATATACATTTTGTCTTTGTTCACTATATCTCCAAGGATACAGAGCACAACCTTTTTTACTTTAGTTCTATAATGACTCATCCACATAAAGCTTTTCATCCATGACATTTGGAAGTATGAGTAGCATGTATGTGTGTTTACAGTAACACTAACAATTACAAATTAAAATTAAAATTCCTTGCTCTTTTAAAAGTCCTCCTTCTACCTATCATTTTAACCAGTTTTTCTTCTTCTGCCACCCTCTCTTTGCTGTTTCTTAGCAACAACACTCAACCCCCACACTCCAGGGAGCGATTTTTCCTCCTTTATTACACAGGGCAAGTTGACTTTCTCAATTTCATATCCTCAAACTCAGCCTCCTACATATCTGTGTGTGTCCAGTTGTCATTGTGACCCCATAACTGGTCATCTACCTTGAGTTTTACCTCCTTTCTTGCCTCTACATACAGATTTATTTTTCCAGTGACAGAAATCATGCCAACTTCTTAAAAGGCAGAGTGGTAGGAATTTGGGTTTTAAACAAACTTCTTTGGTATTTATGTGTATTTTCCAATAATGGAGATTGAACCCAAGGCCTCACTGTGCTAAGCAGGGGCTCTACCATTGAGCTATCCCCCTACCATTTCACAAACTTACTTGTTACACAGATATAAAGTGTCATGGTGGTCCTGGCTTCCCTTCTGCTCTCCCTGTCTCCCTTCTTTCCTTCCACTTCCATTAACATATTATGAGTTAGTCCTTCAAGTGTTTCTTGGCAGTCTTTTGGTACTTCATGCGAATACTGGTGAACTTGGTCTAAACTTCTAGAAAAGGAGAGAAAACTGAAGGAAGGGTCATGATGAAGTATAACCCATGATATATTTTTTGTTTTCTGGTTAACACAGCCTTCAGAAATTGGAGTGCTCCTATTACAAGAATTTGTGGAAATGATCACCTACCTTGGTGATAACCATCCCCTAATCCTGTCAATTACTCTTGGCCTTAAAAGGAAGAATAAGTTTGAAATTGGATTAAAACATGAATTTGCAGAATCACAAACTATCCTAAATGATAAGTTTTAAGAACTAAAACTAAGTTTTAGTTCCTAAGCATTAGATCTTTTGGCAGGAAGGCCAATCTACTGCTTCCTCAAACATGCCAAGCTCACTTGTGTTTTAAGACCTGAACTTCAGGATATGTTTTGTTCAGGGATGTTCCTCTCCTAGATCATTCCAAGGTTGGATCAGGAGCTTCATTCAGATCTCAACCTAGAAGTTGTCTTTTCAGGAAGGCCTCCCCTGATATTCATCCTTCAGTACCCCACTCCTTACAATAACTCCCTATGACTTTAAACTGCTATTTCAAGGCATTTAACCATCAAATGATAGTCTTATTTGCCTCCTAATTTATTGTTAATTTCTTTTATCAAGAACACAGATCTCTGACTACAGGGTTTTTTTCTGTTGTTGTTGTTTGTTACTAGGGATTGAACCCAGGGGTGTTCTACCACTAAACTACATCCAAACCCTTTTTATTTTTAGGTAGCATCTCCTTAAGTAGCTCAGGCTGGTCCCATATTTGCTATCCTTCTGCCTCAGCTTCCTGACTAGCTGCAATTGCAGGTGTGAATCACCATGCCCAGCACTGTAGGGTTCTGAGAAAAGATACTGATAAGAATGTATCCCAGGGCATTGATTGTAATAGCAATAAATGGGAAAAGATCTAAATATTCATCAATATAGGAGTTCCAAATAATTTGTAGCAAACCTATTTTGATTATATAGGCAAAAAATGAAGTAAATATATAAAGCAATATAGATAGATTTTAAAAACATAGAATGGGGTGAAAAATATTGAGTTGCAGATCAATTCACAAAATACAATAGCATTCATGTAAAACTTCAACATTCCAAAGCCATTTCATGTATTGTTTATAAACACATAGTAATGCTTTAAATATAGAAACCTAGTTTATTAAGATTCATTTTCAGGGGCTGGGATTGTGACTCAGCGGTAGAGTGCTCGCCTAGCACGGGCTGGACCTGTTCAATCCTCAGCACCACATAAAAATAAAGGCATTGTATTGTGTCCATCTACACCTAAAACATAAATATTAAAAAAAAAAGATTCATTTTCATTCCTGATCCTAGTTGCCTCTTGGGAGATTAGTAGAGTGGGCACCCACTTTTACTCTAATGTTCTATTTCTTTTCGTCTAAAACTGTAAAATGACAAAACTTTGACATCTGTTCATTTTGGATACTGAGTACGTGAGTGTTTGCTCTGTGTTTTAAATTTTTTTGTTTTGTTTTGTCTACCGGGGCAGTGTCCCACACAAGCTTTTAATTTCAGCTACTTGGGGAGGCTGAGACAGGTGAATTGCCAATTAGAAGCCAGCCCGGGAAATTTAGTGAAACTCGGGGTCTAAAAAAAAAAAATGTAGGGGGCTGGGGATGTAGCTCAGTGGTAAGGCGTCCCCTGGGTTCAATCATCACACTCACACACACCCCAAATCAATCATAATTTAAAAATGGAGGGTAGTGGAAGAACAAGAAACCAGGAGACTTGGATTCATCTTTGCCTTTTCTCTCTGGCATTGACATAACCTCATTAGCAAATAGCCAAGGCGGTGTTCCTTCAAAGTCCCTTCAATTTGAAAGAATCTAAAATTTCCCATCTCCAACCTCCACACAGGGAAGGCTACCCAGACCAGGGAATGAAAAATGGATTTCTTCTCCCATTCAGGGTAAATCCTTCTCTCAACACGCAATTCCTTGTCCAGGGGAACAGTACAGTCGGAGACCGTCTCTGGCTACTTGGATTGACTTCCCTCAGAGATTCCTGTGGGGGGATTAGGACACCTACCTCATAAAATTGTAGTGAGTTTTATTGATAACGCAAGTGTAGTACCTGGACAGAGCCGCTACTAACGGTAGTAACAATAACCTCACTTAGGGTCTCAGCAACTTGATCACAACCTCGTTTTTCCCGCGGCCCTCCAACCGGAGTCGGTTTAGCCTACTAGAGTTGGAGCAGGGAATCCGAAACAATCAGGAACCGTTGCTATGGCGACACTTTGCTCCGCGCCCGGCTTTAAACGAATAGCATGCTGGGAATTGTAGTGCGTGGGGCTGAGTCTCGCCTCAGGGGCGGGGCTGCGTCCTGTAAGGGTACTACATTCACCTTTCCCAGCTCCACCGCCACTCTTTATCACGCCCTGTGTCTCGACCACAGAGCCTAAAGTGCAACGGCCAGTCATGGGTCCTCCTTTCCACGCCTTTCAGAGTCACAGCTGAAGGAAGGGCGGGGGAAGCAATGAGGTGCCGACGGCGGAGACCCGAGAGACACTGTTGGAGCAGGAAGGGGCGGGGCTCCCGCCCAGGGTACGAAGGCACCGCCTCCTTGTGTCACTTCCGTAAACAAGGGGCGCTGCGCTGCCGCGGGTCTGGAGATGTGACCCGGGATCTAGCTGCAGCTGCGGCAGTGGCGTCCGAGGTTCCCGGATCTTTGCGGGTTGAGGAAAGGGACCCGGACCCTCTACTTCCTCGGGTAGGTAATGAAAGCAAAGGAAACCCCGCCACGCCCTCCTTAAGGCCCCCTTAGGTCACTGCTGGGTTTGGGATGGTGATGGGTCATCGCTTTGGAGGACTGGGAAAGGGGAATGGGGTGAAGTCCAGAGGGACTTTCCCTGGTCCTGCTTGGAGGCAGGGTCTGGCACCCAAAATTAGTTTGTAAGCCTGAACGGTTTGCGCCTTCTCTAAAACGTTCCTTGCTGCTTGGTATACAAGAAGGATTTCGGTGGTTTTGTGACACATGTTACCTTCACTAAACGAATAAATCTCAAGCCTTGGCCCCGCAGAACACCATTGCCTGAGGTCACAGTTTATTTGCGTTACTTTACTTCTTAGGTTTTCTTTTTTTTCCTCCCTTGATCGTGGGTCGCCAAATGTGTTAGCATCCTTTTTGGGAGGGGTTGCTGAGGATTGAACCCGGTCACTTTATCACAGAGCTACGTCCCCAGTCCTTTTTATTTTTCATTTTGAGATAGGATCTAGCCAGGTTGCTGAGGCTGGTCACGACCTTGTGATCCTCCAGTCTCAGCCTTCGGAGTGGCTGGAATTTACAGGCATCTGCCACCATACAAGGCTGTATTATTACCATCTTAAAATTTGAAGGCCAATGTGTTTATGTGTATCATAAATGTATGCAGACCCTTGCCTCTTTGGAGAACTGATACCCTATTGTCTCTATTCAGTTGCCTTTTATAGTTCCATTTAATTTGCATGTTGAAACAAACCCCATATGAGTGTTTTATTACTAAAAAATGCTTTCATTTCTCCCACCAGTACTGGGGATCGAACCATGAACTTTCTACCACTGAGTTAATTCCCCATTCCTTTTATTGACGGATTGATTGATTGAGACAGAGTTACCAAGGCTGGCCTGGAATTTGTGATCCTCCTGGCCCAGCTTCTTGAGTGGCTGGAATTGCAGGTTTTGGCCAAGGCATCTGGCCTAAAAATGCTTGTTAGGAGAAATATTGTTTGCCAATATTTAAATGGATTTACAGTTGGTGTCTGGAATTAGAGACTGGGCACTGGCATCTTTCCCAGAAAGCCTTTTCTTTTTTGGAGGTATCATAGCTAAACTCGTGATTGTCTAGAGTCAATCAAAACTCAGCATTTTAATTTCCAGGGCTAATGGTACTGAGTTCAGACAATAGCAAGAAAGAAAATCTATTTTCATTAAAATTCTCAAATAACTTTTAGGAGTGACAGCAGGATTTGAATCTTTTTGAACAGTCACAGCATGATTAAATACAACACGATATTTTTTAAAAGGTCTAATGTTCCTGAGGCAATGTACAATTTTATAGGGTATATAGCCATCTGAATTTCTCATTTTTATGATAAATGAGTCAATGGAATTAAGAAAAAATTAACCTATGCAAAAATAAAACAAATGTAGAAGGACATTTTGGGATATCTGAGTTAAGAAATAAAACTGGTTAATATGTGAAGTAATGGGACAGTATTGAGATAAATATAAAGCCTTACACATATTCCCCATGAAAGGGACATCTGTAACTTTATAGTGTTAATTTTAAAAATATGAGCAAAACCAAAGATATGATTCATGTTTCCTTAGACATTGGTAGTATATTTAAGTATTCAAAATAGGTGAGAAACAAGCTTGATTTTATAGAACTGCACTTGATCATAGAGCTAGAATCTAGCTAGAATCAGTCTTACTTCTAGGTACAAACTAATGTTTGCTTGGTAATTGAAATAAGACTTCTAGTTGTTATTTAAAATTCTGATACCCTGAAAATTATACATCTGTCTGAATCTGAGTTGTTTTTTCTAAGAATACATTTTGAAAGGGAGACCTAAAGGCCACCTAAAACTTGAGTCAGGCTGGGATATAACACGAATGACTTGTTTTATTGTTTATATATATTGTGCACCTTGTGTAATGTTTGCTTCTCAAGGGCAGGAACTTTGTCGTATTTAGCGCTGTTCCTCAATATTCATAATAGGACCTGGCTCATGGGAGAGAATCAGCAAATATTTGTAGGAAAAGTGAATTAAGAAAATGGTTAAAAAATGTATAAAGTATATCACACAAACTTAAGGGATCCTTATTCTTACTTTCTAATGACCTCTGAAATTCTTAATCCTCCTTTGAGTGGGTCTTTGAATCTCTTTCATATTATAGCTAATGTATACAATTACTGTGTTTCTTTACTTAGGTCTTAAGAAGCTGGCCTTGGTGCAACAAGGAACTTAAAACAATGGAAGAGCGGAAAGTGAAGAGGAGGAGTCCAAAATCTTTTAGTGCCCATTCTACTCAGGTTGTTAATGCCAAAAAAAATGCCATTCCAGTTAGTAAGAGCACAGGGTTTTCAAATCCAGCATCACAGTCAACTTCACAGCGACCAAAGTTAAAAAGGTGAATTCTTCTTTCACATTTTCACAGTAAAATATTGAGTCAATTCCTCCTCCCTTTTTTTTTTTTTGTAGTGTGGATTGAATCCAGGGTTCAATATCCCCAGCTCCTTTTATTTCTTATTTTGAGACAGGTCTTGCTAAGTTGCTTAGGGGCTCACTAAGTTACTGAGATTGGCCTCAAATATGTAATCCTCCTGATCCTTCTACCTCAACCTCTCCCAAGTTGCTGGGAATTCAGGTGCCCAGTTTTAGAGTCAGATTTTGAATAAAGTTATAATTGGTAGAGAAAGAAGGCTAAAAAATTTTAAGGCAAGAATTCCTTTCTTTAAATTAATTAATTCATTCTTTCTCCCCGCCCCCCTCTTGTACTGGGATTGAACTTAGGGCCTTATATATGCCAACCAAGCACTGAGCTGCATCTCTAGTCCTTTTAATTTTTAAGTTTGATACAGGGTTATGTTAAATTACCCAGGCTGGTCTTGAACTTGGGATCCTCCTGCCTCAGCCTCTAGAGTAGCTGAAATTACAGGTATGCACCGCCACAACTTGCCTTTCTCTAAATTCTTAATAGCAGTTTAAAAACTGATATTATTGTCATTTGTTACCTGGTAATTTTATTCCCCTATTTTCTAGAATGTAGGCTTTCTGAGGACTAAAGCTGTATTGATCATCATTGTGTGCCTGACTATATTCACAGTGGGGCTTTGCAATTTTGTAATTTCATTGTATGATTTTTGGTATTAAATTGTCCTAACATAAAGTGAGGCAATGAGACATAACCAAAAGCATTGAAGTAGGAATAATCGGTTTTGTTTTACCTTCTGTGGTTTTTTCTTTTTTGAGAGGGTTGTTAAACAGTGAATTGATGTGAAACCGTTTCTTCAATAAAACTTCCAAATTTGAGAGGAGAAAAATATATTTATTATATTGAAACCTTACATTTTATAGTGGTTTATCTCAGAATTTAATGTGGATTTCTTTAACATGCAGATTCTAGCTTGGTGCAGTGAGGCATACCTATAATCCCAGTGACTGAGGAGGCTGAGGCAGAAGGATCAAAAATTTAAGCCCAGCTTCAACAATGTAATGAGGCTCTAAGCAACTCAGCAAGACTCTGTCTCTAAATGTAAAATAAAAAGGGATAAGGAATATAGTTCAGTGGTAATGCACACCTGGTTTCAATCCCAAGTGCCCAAAAATAAAATATAGATTCTGAATCAGTCTGAGATGGGGCCTCACATGAGCATTTCCAGTAAGCTCACAGGTAAGATTGATGTTACTGGGTCATGGACAGCATTTTGAGTAGCAAAGTACTGGATAATGTGATTTAACACAACTTACAGAAAATGCAAACTTTACTTTGTAAAGAACTGTTAGTGTAACAACAGCCTTTGAATTCTAAATTTTTTCTTAAGAATTATTATTTTCTTTCTTTTGTCCAGTGCTTTTCCCAGGCATATATATATATATACTTATATTATCCTCATTGTGGTAAGTACAGTTGTGGATAAAATGTCTTTAGTGTTATATAAACATAATTGAGACTGGATGCTGTGGCATATGCCTACAATCTCAGAAGCTCCAGAGGCTGAGGTACCAGAGGATCATAACTTCAGGGCAACTTAGCAAGACCCTGTGTCAAATTAAGAAGTAAAAAAGGGCTGGGTCTGTGGCTCAGTGATAAGTACACCTGGGCATATACCTACAATCTCAGTAGCTCCAAAGGCTGAGGTAGGAGGATCACAACTTCTGGGCAACTTAGCAAGACCCTGTGTCAAAATAAGAAATAAAAAGGGCTGGGTCTGTGGCTGAGTGATAAGCATTCCTGTGTCCAATCCCAGGTACTGAAATAAAAGAAAAAAACAGTAACACACACACACACACACACACACACACACACACACACCCCAAGAATCTGTAGTTTATATTGGGTTTTAAAGATATCACAACAATACCTTTTCCTTTTTGCCTATTTAACCCCTCCTTGCTTGTTAAGCCTTCACTCACATATCACCTTGAGGAAGCCCTCCTAGCTTACCCTGGGCTGTATGACCTGCTCTTTGCTTTTATATGGCAGTGTGCATAGATAGCACTGTCATTCAAGTAGTTGAGAGCCTGGCATATGCCAGACGTGCAATAAGTGATAATTAGTCTCAGGGTTCCTAAAAGGCCCTCCTGAGGAAACAGTATTTAAACAGATTTAAAGGATGTGTGGGAGGTCACCTGGCAAGGGTGGCAGTAAGCAGAAGATGTGAATGTAGGCAGAGGATTAGCATGTAAGAAGACAGAATGTTTCTAGAAAACTAAAGAGATTCAGGGTAGTAGTTAGAGCACAGACAGGAGAAGATAGGATTTCTTAAGGATATGGGACTTAGGAAGCAGTACAAAGCTGAAGGGTATAAATTATATGATATGATTTGATTTTTAAGAAGTGAACCTGGCTGCCTTGTGAGGCAGGAAGGGGGATCAGAGACCACACACAGAGATAAGGAGACCAGTTGGGAAGGTGCTGGAGTCATTAGGACAAGAGCTATGATGGTGGCTGGGGATGTAGCTCAGTGGTAGAGGCCTTGCCTAGACACAGGAGGCCCTAGCACCAAGGAGGGAGAGAGAGAAAAAAAAAAAAAAAAGAAGAAGGGAGGGGGGTTAAGAAGGCAGTGGCAAAGGAGAGAACTAGGAAAATTAGATAATTTATGGGTATAATCAATAGGACTTCATGATAGCATGTGGGGGCCTTATGAAGTGGAGGGGTCGAGGATTACAAGAGGTTTTTTAGCACTGCATCATATGGTGACTATATATTTAAATGTCTTCCTTTGTCCTTAGACTGGGCACTTCTGGTATGTCAGCTACAGAGTAGGGACCCCATAATCATTTGTGGAATTACTGATAATTCAAGAAACAAATAGGGCAAAGTTCAGAAGGGGAAGATGTTTTACTGAAAAATGAAATAATGAAACATAAGCTAGTAAAAAAGACTAATTTTCTTTTCAATTTTTTATAGTCCAGAGAAATAGTGTATCATATAAATGTATTAATCAAACTTTTTGCTGGATATGGGGTGCGTGCCAATAATCCCAGCCATTGGAGGCAGGAGAATCACAAGTTCAAGGCTAGCATCTGCAAATTAGCAAGGCCCTAAGGAACTTATTGAGACCCTGTCTCAAAATAAAAAATTAAAAAAACAAAAGGCTAGGAATGTTATACCCCTGGATTCAATCCCCAGTACCAAAAAAAAAAAAAAATCCCACAGCTTTCATATGAATAAGAAATTGTATTCCATGCATTTGTTTGAGATGTTCACAACTTGTTCTTCCTCTCCCCTGATTGTTTTTTTCCTGGTCTATGGCTTGAGGTTACTGGTTTTATTTAGTATTGACTTTTTTCTGATTTCTTGTTCTTAAGGGAAAAATTAAGCAAAAATTAAATCTAGAATAGCCTGAAAATCTGTAACTAGAATTAATTGCATCATCTCTGCAGAGCGATGAAAGAAAAGACCAAACCTCAGAGTGGAGAAGGAAAAGGTGCTCAGTCAACTCCCATTCAGCACTCTTTCCTCACTGATGTCTCCGACGTTCAGGAAATGGAGCGAGGGCTCCTGAGTCTTCTGAATGATTTCCACTCTGGAAAACTTCAAGCATTTGGTAAGCAGTAAATATTTCTCTTTACTATTTTTTAAGATGTTTGTCATTAACATATATATTGATTTATGGAAGCGTGGACTTTCCCTCACCCATGTTTTTATTGATTGACTTCCTTTTCCCCTTTCTTATGCCTTCTGCTTCTTCCATCTCTCCTCTTCTCCCCAACCAGTTAACCATGTTAACAGTTAGGTTACATCTTTGTATATTTTCCCCAGGTTATAATCTGCATGGATGTCAATATTTAGACACGCAGACACACACACACAGATTTTTGTTTTCATTGTTTTACATAGATGGGACCTTATGTATACTTTTCTGTACCTTTTCTTTACTCAACAATATTTGATGGAACTCTCTGCACAGCTCTAATACATTCTCCTTTTAATTGCTACATAGTATTCTAAGTTATGAATATGCTCTACTTTATTTCAATCATTTTCCTATTGTTCACATCTCTGAGCCACTAAAGGCAAAGGTATAGTGAACCTTCTTTTTTTTTTTTTTTTTTTTTGTGGCACTAAGGATTGAACACATGGGCATTTTACCACTGAGCTACATTCTCAGCCCTTTTTATTTATTTTTATTTTTTAAGTACTTTTTTTAGTTGTAGATGGACACAATATCTTTATTTTTACTTATTTATTTTTATGTGATGCAGAGGATCGATCCCAGTGCCTCACATATACTAGGCAAATAAATGCTCTACCACTGAGCCACAACCCCAGCCCCTTATTTTTTTATTTTGAGATAGGGTCTCACTAAGTTTCCCTGGCTAACCTTGAACTTGGGTTCCTCCTACCTCAACCTTCTAAGTAACTGGGATTACAGATGTGCTCCACTATGCTTGGCTTCCACAGTGAAGATTCTTAGATTAATTCTTATTCTGGTACTTTTATTTCTTTGCAAAGAATTACCATGAGTGGAATTATTGGGTCACAGCATATATGTAATTTTAATTTTAATTGAAGTGTCCAGATTGCTTTCCAAAAAAGAAAAAAAAAAAAAAAAACCCTTACATTTCTCATTTCTAGCAGCAGTTTACAAAAGAGTTCCATCAGATATTGTTGAATAAAGAAAAGGTACAGAAAAAAAGGGTTTTTTCCCAAATTCCCATCAAGAACAGTTTTGTATAGTGTCTTTAATAGTATTGTGTCTTAATTTTTGCTACTCTGTTGGCATCGATTAAGATTCTTTAAATTTATTTATTTATTTTAAGCTTTTAGTACTGACAATTAAACCCATGGATGCTGAGTTACATCTCCAGTACCCCAACTCTCTCTGTACATATATATGTAGATATGTAGATATAGAGATAGGCAGACAGGTATTTGAGACAGGGTTTGACTAAGTTGCTGAGGCTGGCCTCAAACTTTAGCCTTCTGAGTTACCAGTATTTCAACTTGGTGTCACTGTGTTGAGCTAACAGTATTAAAATTTCTACTGAATTTGAGTAAGCAGTTGGATTGCTCTTTTTAGTATTTCATTCAGTTTTGAATTTGGTTATTTATCCTGTTGTTGTCAATTGCCAAGAGCAATTTAACTTTGTAAAAGTTTTAATTTTTTGCATACTCAACTATGTCTATCTTTTTTTTTTATTGTTTCTGGATTTGTAGTCTTTTATATAGTATGTTGAAAGGAATACATTAAAAGCACATTACTTTTAGCACTACCTCATCCCGTTATGGTGGTATCTGAAGAATTCTTTGACTTTCCTCTCTCCTTCTTTCTTCCTTCCCATCCTTGAGATGTTCCCTTTAGATCACTTTTACTTCTTTCCTACCTCCCTACACAATTCTTGCTATGTAGGTAACTTTGTTTGAACTGAAGTCCTTTCTTATGTGTCTGGTACTCTACTGCTATCTGTGTCACCATGAGATTTATTTGCCAGTTGGATTCTTTCTTAATACGTAATAATTTTTTTCTGCATTGATACTTAAAAGACCTTTTTTAATCTTTAAAGTTTAGGCATTTATCAACATGTGCTTAGGTCTTTGTCTTTTCTCACCAGTCCTGCCTGGGATTCAGTAAGGCTTTCTTACTTGCTGACTCATCTTTCATCTTGCAGAATGCTTTTTCTATTGTTTATTGTTTCTCCTCCATCTATTACTTTTTAGTCTTCTGGTGCTTCTGTTGCTTTTAGGTTACCTTCATCCATTTTCTGACTCACTGATCTTTTCCCTTGTGGCTTCAATTGCTTTATATTTTTATTCTTACTATATATATTTCTCTCTCTCTCTCTCTCTCCCCCCCCCCACACACACACACACACATATCTTGAGGTATTTGTTCTTCCAGGTTACTAATAGTTAAAATAGAAGACATTTACTGTGAATAAAAGATGATTTTGAAAGAACTGTAACTAATTTTAAATATTAGTAGTCCTTAACATACTATAGTATAGTTAATGAATTAAGTTATAAAGTTCACTACAGGAAACTATAGTATAATCTACATTAATTCATATTGACTCAAGATATGTATTTTAACTTTAGCTGAACTATGCCTGTTTAGTACATTCAGGAAAAATAGAAAGCTCTTTTTTTTTTTTTTAAATTATAGTATCATGAGTTTGCAGTGGCTGTACTTAAACTGGATAGGATGTGTACTATGTAATATATACATAAATTTGTTCTTGTGGGCAGATGATGTCACTCTAGTCAGTAAATCATGTAAGATCTATCCTTTACCAAGCAAGTTGCCTTGCACTATTGTGTATATGATCAAAAACATTACATTATAGCCGGGCATGGTGGTGCATGCCTATAATCCCAGTGGTTCAGCAGGCTGAGGCAGGAGGACTGCAAATTCAAAGCCAGCCTCAGCAAAAGCAAGGCACTAAGCAACTCAGTGAGACCCCTATCTCTAAATAAAATACAAAATTGGGCTGGAGATGTGGCTCAGTGGTCGAGTACCCCTGAGGTCAATCCCCAGTACCCACCCCGCCAAAAAAAATTACATTATGTTCTTCTTGCTTCATAACATTCTTCATGCTTCATAAATATTTTCTAAAGGAAGAATATATAATTGCTTGGAAAAAATGATTCATGGTTGAAGTTCTGGTAGAAATCTTAATTTCTCTCATAAAATGTTGTGTCAGTCAATTCAAATGTTAGTTGTCAAATTGAACTTAATTAGACGGTGCTGTTGCTTCTATATATTATATTGCTATTGAATAAAAATATTTTTATTACTTAAGGAAAGATTTTTCTTTTTTTTAAAAAAATACATATTTTCTTTTAGTGAACAAGGTCAATTATTAGGTTGGTTATTGTTTTCCTGATAAAAAATTTGATTTGTGCCAGGCATGGTGCGCATGCCTGTAATCCCAGCAACTCAGGAAGCTGAGACAAGTTCAAGGACAGCCTTGACAACTTAGTGAGATGCTGTCTCAAAATAAAAAATGAAAAGGGCTGGGGATGAAGCTCAGTGGTAGAGTGCCCCAGGGTTCAAGTTCAATCCCCAGTATGGTGTTTTTGATTTGTAATTATACATAGAAAATATGCAAATAGTTTACAGAAGAAAAAACATGGATTTCTTTTAGAGCACCCAGAGTTTATATGTTTTTCCTCAAGGCTATTAGTTTTAACATTAATCTTTATTAATGTTCTGGAATGTTCCCCAGGAAATGAATGTTCCATAGAACAGATGGAACATGTTCGGGGAATGCAAGAGAAATTAGCTCGCTTGAATTTGGAGCTCTATGGGGAGTTAGAGGAACTTCCTGAGGATAAGAGAAAAACAGCCAGTGATTCCAATCTGGACAGGCTTCTGTCTGATGTAAGTATAGTTATTTTTCTCTATTCTTTAAAAAAAATATGGCAATAAAGTTCACTGTACAAAACTCACCTTTTAAACACTTTAAAGTGTACAATTTACTGGTTTTTAGTATATTCATAGTGTTGTGCAGATGTAATCACTGTCTTAATTTCAGAACATGTTAATTACCCCCAAAAGAAGCCTGTGCCTTTCAATTCCCCCACTCTCCCCATCTTTTAGAAACCCCCAGTCTACTTTCTGCCTTTATGGATTTGCCTACTGTGGAATTTTATATAAATGGAATTATACAAAATATGTGCCTTAAGGGTATTCTTTGACTTAGTATTTTCAGGTTTTATCCATGTTGTACTTTACTTTTTTAAAAAGTACATTTTCCAAAGAAATGTATCCTAAGGAAATAATCATACTTATGTCTAAACATGTATTTTCAGATAACTGGCAAATATAAAAAGGAAATATTTGCTTATGCACATATTATATATGCACAGATATTACATGTAAAAATGTTGTATACATATATATGTACAGATCTTTAGAGACGATAGTAGTCAAAGAACTTTACCTCAGGCTGGGGTTGTGGCTCAGTAGTAGAGCGCTTGCCTAGCATATGTGAGGCACTGGGTTCAATCCTCAGCACTGCATATAAATAAAGGTCCATTAATAACTAAAAAAATATTTAAAAAAAAAGAACTTTACCTAAAATGATTAATATTCTTTGTGTTATTTTTACTTAGGTGGTGGTTACCTATTTTTAAATACAGAACTGTGTTGGGTGTCTATGGTAATTTAGTACATTGCCATGTATATATGAGTTTGGTAGGCTGCCATAACCAAGTACCACAGACAGGGTGGCTTAAGCAACAGGAATTTATTTTCTCACAGTTCTGGAGGCTGAAAGTTGGAGTTCAAGGGGTTGACAAGGTTGGTTTCTTCAGAAGTCTCTGTCCTTGGTTTCTAGATAGTGACCTTCGTATTCACATGGCATTCTATCTCTGTGCACATCTGTCAAAATTTCCTCTCCTTAAGGGCACCTGTAACATTGGATTAGGGCCCACTCTGAGTACCTCATTTTGACTTAATTACCTCTTAAAGGCCTGGTCTCCAAGTATACTCATTCTGAAATATTATGGGTGAACACTAAAACATGAATTTTGGGAGTAGTCATTTTTCAGCCCCAATATCTTGTAAGATTGTTGGACTGAGAATTGTTAGTTCAGTTGTCTCTTTAAATGCTTTTCGAGACAAACATAAATAAAACAAATTCAACATACTTTAGTTTTAAATTTCATATTTACTAATGATAAGAAGGATCTACTGTTGTTTTTCTCTGTCATTTGAATAAGCAAATTCAAGGGAAACTGTATGCCCATACTTTTAAAATTTCAAGCCTCTACTCTTTTTATTTTTCAGGTTTTTTGTATTCAGTCTTGCAAGCATTCTTTTTACCAGTTTGTTTTGTTTTATTCCTCTTAGCAAATATAGGTTAGTTTGCTATGCACTGTAGGAAAGTAACTATGATGTGGTAAAAAGAACACTGAATTTGAAGCCAGAAAAAACCTTTGTTTAGTTCAAGGCTTATATTTAGATTATACTGTGTAACACTGAACAATTTTAACATTTTTTGTAATTCAAATTTTTCCTTCTGTAAAGTTAGGTGTACTATGATTTGAATGTTTGTGTCTTCCCAGAAATTATATGTTGAAATTCTCAACCCAAAGGTTGTGGTAGTGGGAGGTGGCCTTTGGGAGTAAAAAGGTCAAGAATGGAATTAGTGCCCATTCAAAGAGGCATGAAGGAGACCCCTACCCCTTCTACCTGTGAGTACACAATGAGAGGTTGCCATATTGGAACCAGGAAGTGGGAGGTCACCAGACACCAAATCTGCTGGCATTTTAATCTTAAACTTCCAGTCTCCAGAACTGTGAGAAATGAATTTCTGTTGTTCACAAGCCACCAGTTTATGGTAATTTTTTTTTTGCTACTGGGGATTGAACCCAGGGACACTTTACCACTGAGTTACATCCCCAGTGTTGTAATCCTCCTGTGATCCTTGTGATCCTCCTTTCTCAGCCTCCCAGTCACTGTGATTACAGTCTAGACCACCATATTTGGCAGTTTATGTTATTTTGTTATAGCAATCCAAACAAAGACAAAAAGTGATAAATTATACTTTATACTTTAAAACTGAATGACATAAAATAGTTTTGTAATTCATGAAGGTTTTAAAGATAGTGTAATTAAAATGGCAACTTTTTCTTTTAAAAGTTATTATTAGAAGTTATTATAATTATGGATGGGTTTGGGAATACTTACAAAACTCCAGTTTTTAGCCTTTGATTTCAGTTTCTTCTCATATTATGTTGCATAAATGATAAAGCTACCTTTTTTGTACTTGACCACTAAGCCACATCCCCAGCCCTATTTTGTATTTTATTTACAGTCAGGATCTCACTGAGTTGCTTAGCACCTTGCCATTGCTCAGGCTGGCTTTGAACTCATGATCCTCCTGTTTCAGCCTCCTGAGTTGTTGGGATTATAGACATGTTGTGCCACTGCGCCCAGCTAAAGCTACTTTTTAATTAATTTGCAAAAGGGAATTTCCCAGATTGGAAATTTTTTGAATGTTTTTCTTAAGAAATATTAAATGAAAAAAATCCTTAAAAATATAGAGGTAACAATGACTTATATTTATAATTACTTATATTTATCTTATAAAAATTTTGTTTCTTTGTTTTACAGTTGGAAGAATTGAATTCTTCTATGTATCCTTTGCCTACCAGCAACAATGAAAAGCCTATAGTTTATAATTATAAAATTTATAATTTTGTAATTTGTAATCCCTATCACATTTTAGAAAAAGGTATTATTTAAGTATAGTGAACAAAAATACAAAATATTTACCGGGTCCACCTCTCTTCCCTTTTGGTTTCCAAATGGAATTTCCTCAATGTTTTATGTGCTGAAATTTTGTTTCTGCTTTATTCTGCATTGCTTTATATTGTTTTTGAACTCTTTAAAAACTAAGTTAATTATTTTTTAAGTCATGATAATTAAGGATTAGGCTAGTTGCCATAGAAATTATTTGAATCTTAGATTCTGAGGTGAACTGGCTATTGGATCTAGAGAAAATATACTATACTTAATAACATTACCTAGAATATTTTAAATATATAAAATTGAAAATTAGGTATCATCAAATTACAGCCTTGAGGGATGTGTATGTAGCTTATGAACCAACATTTTCACAATTAAGTGTGCTAAGCATAATATAGGAATAGCTCAAAGGAAAACACCAATGCTTACCAATATTCAGGATTTAATTTTTCAATCTAGAAAAATTATTTCAGGAACTTTTCAAAATGTATTTTTGAACATAATGGTAGGAACATTAGAGTAATAAGAAATGATGCCAGTTACAGAATATGTACAGAATA